TTTAATTTTATTTTAATCTAAAAAATTTATTTTCTTTTTAAATAGTCTTTAAACTTTAAAAAATATTTCAAAATAGTATACCGTATAAAATTGTGTTAGATTTAATGAAAAAAATAGTTTTTTAAGTTTTAAAAAAATGACACTATAATTTTAATAAAATATGATGACTGAAAAAATATTTTACAGAGATAGATTAGTTAGGATTTATAATAAATTTGAGCAATTAGTTCAATTCAAACAGAAAAACTTAGTAAATTTAGAACGAGAAGTTTTAAGAGTAAGTTTACCTTACAAGACAAATTATATACAATTTGTCTTGTAAAATTATTTAATTGTCTATAAAAAAAAATATATAAATAAACTTAAGGGTATTTAAATAATTTTATAGAACAAACTGCATACAGTCTGCTTTGTAAACAATTTTCTGAAGATTATATTTAGCAAGATAATAATAAAAATTATTTTTATGGTGAATATAAATTTAAGAACTGAAAGATCAAAAGAAATATAGTTAGAAAATTAAATATTTTTTTTATAATAAGAAGATTCGTTAAAGATAATGAATATTTCTATTAAAGATAATGGATTAGATAAAATCAAAATAAATGTAAAAAATAATAGATAAAATTAAAATAATTTAAATATAATAGATGAAACTGAAAATAATATAATAGTTAATAAATAATTTGTTAAATTAACCCAATTAAGAACCGCCAATCAGAATTGATCACTATGGAACTAGACAATGTTGGCAATGGCAGTACATTTCCTTACAGCTCTCTGATTTCACCCTGCAGCTTTATTTGTTTCTGCGTCAACAATAACCTTCTCTTATTTTTTCCTTCATACAAAGGAATTATCCGTACACAAGCTGAGACCAACAAATCATCACGATTCATGAGCCCTCTAATCAAAGCCTGACAATACACCGCGACCACTGGCAAATCGCTTAATGTCTCGGAAGGAAGGCTCCATTCCAGCTTTCACTGAGGGCTTGTACTCATAAGCACTGACTTTGTCATCTTGCTTTTTGCCTTTGAAAAACTTCAGGCCCAATAAAGGTTTTCTCTTCCCTTTTTCATGTGAGGTGGTTGGTTCTGGTGGTGGAGGTTTATTCATCATCTTTTTTTGCTTCCTTTTGAGTCCCTTAATCTGTCCCATGCATGAAATTTTTGGCGAGGTTGGTTCTTGTGTTTGAAAACTATCATTCTTGGACTTTGTTCGAGCCTCCTTGGGGACCAAGGACACTGCTGGAGATACTTTGCGTGCAGGGCTGTATGTAGGGCTGCGCGGTGGAGTCCACGGCGGGCTGACTTGAAAGTTGATCGGAGAGGCAGCCCTGGGCAAAATCGTTAGGATCTTGGAAATCTGCCTTGACTGTTTCCCCATCAAAGACTAGATTCTTCTGTTTTGGTAATCGGGAAATGAGAAAAACTTATGCTGCTTACAAGACTTGGTTCAATAAGAAGATGGCCAAGAGAGCATCTGAATATATATGAAACAAGGATTCCCAGAAAGGTATAGCATTTTCCATGCATAGTATACTTCAAACGGCAGGCACAACCGCCATTATTGTATAAGTAGTTGAAAGAGACCATCCAACAACTTAAACCACTGTTTTAAGAGATCACATCTCAAATATGATTATCATCAGCATTTACTCGGAACAAAAAAGGGAATAATTTTATTCCTTCAACATAGCAGAAAGTCAGACCTTAGTATTTATACTGGGAAAAGAACATTGGGGAATTATGGTGTCCATTTAACTATTTTGATAGTTGAACAACCTGTGGCCCCAGGATAAGCCATTGAAACACAGTATCTAGTGCATCACATCATACAATTCAGAAACATTAACAAATCTTCAATCACAGTTCATATTGAGTTCTCATCATACATGGAGGATTTGTGATACAGTAAATTTGATCAAGCGGACAGCCAATGAACAAGCTGAATTGTTGATCAGATGAACTTCCCCACAAAAACCCTACTTTTTTGTCAGTGTTGAAGGGAGCACTGCAGATCAAAAAAAATTTTAACCACTTGTTACCGATTGCATCATTATCCATCAATATCAGCCGAAATTTAAAACTAAAGACTCTTTGATCAGGTTTTCATTTAAATTATTGCATTCATTCAAATACAGAACCTACCTTTCACTTCCTCAAGCTCTTCAAAATTGGTTTGCATTAACGTGTACTCCTGTCATCTCTACTGCTCCTGTCATCCTTAGTGCTCCTGTCATCCTTAGTGCCCCGGTCATCCTTGTTGCTTGTTGGGGAGTACTGACTTGTTGATGAAGGTGAATACCCTGGAGCACTTGGTGAGTATCCAGCACTAGGACTGCACACAACATAGCATAGAGTAGTGTAAGAACCATTTCCAAGAATTTCAGAACACCACAACATAATGTCTTACTGCTAACCTATACTGTGGTGAGCTAGGGCTGTAGTCTGGTCCTCCAGAGTTATATGGGCTGGTTAAAAGAAACAGAAATGAAAAGGCATTACCATCAGACATCATGAACACAACTGGAAAAGGGCAGCTTTTAAAATTGAAAACATATTCTCCTTATAACAGTAGCCATTCCAGATGGGCGAGCTGTATGTCAGACTTGATTGATGAATTACCAGCTTCCCTTCTTACTGCAACTTTCTTAATGTATATAACAGTGACAAAAATATAACAAATCACCTGCTAGGACTGTATGTTGGGCTTGAAGGAGAGTAAGTTGGAGAAGTTGGTGAATATGATGGTGAAGTAGGACTGCAAATTAAGAAAAAAAAAAGAAAAAATAAAAAAGATTTTCTTAGCCACTGAAAAATAAACCTCATGACATGAATAGATGAATTTATACAAAACATTGGAAACCAGGAAATAAATTAATGTAGTAACACACTAATCCAGCCTCAGCTGCAAGAAAAAAGTTAGTGATTTAAATGTGTAATCACTTCAGTAGTCAAAAGTGAGAAACTGGGTATGCACTTAGCATTTATATCTATTATGGTTTACCTGTAATTTGGTGAAGTTGGACTATAAGGACTCGAAGGAGATAATCTTGGACTGCTCGGTGAGTATGCCAAAGATGGACTGTACTTTGCTGACTGAGGATTGTAACTTGGTGATGTAGGGCTATAACTTGGCGAAGTGGGACTGTAACTAGGTGATGTTGGACTGTAGCCAGGGGAAGTGGGGCTATAGGCTGGAGAGGTTGGACTGTATGATGGTGATGTGGGACTGTAGGAAGGTGAAGTTGGGCTGTAGGATGGGGAGGTTGGGCTGTAGGATGGGGAGGTTGGGCTGTAAGATGGGGAGGTTGGGCTGTAAGCAGGGGAGGTTGGACTATAAGCAGGGGAGGTGGGACTATAAGCTGGTGAGGTGGGACTATAACTAGGTGAAGTTGGACTGTAACTAGGAGACGTCGGGCTGTAGCTTGGAGATGTTGGGCTGTAGCTCGGAGATGTCGGGCTGTAGCTTGGTGACGTCGGGCTGTAACTAGGTGATGTTGGTGAATAGGAGGGACTTGTCGGAGAGTATGCTGGACTTGTAGGACTATAACCAGGTGAACTTGGACTATAGGTCGGTGATGTAGGGCTGTACCCAGGAGAGGTTGGACTGTAACCAGGAGAGGTTGGACTGTAACCAGGAGAGGTTGGACTGTAGCCAGGAGAGGAAGGACTGTAGCCAGGAGATGAAGGACTGTAACCTGGGGATGAAGTAGGAGAAAATGCCATTCCACCAACATATGGAGAAAACTGAGCATCTGTGATAGGTGAGAGACGGAGATTTGGGCTCAGCAAGTAACTCGGAGACATCATGCCCTCATGATAGGGTGTTCCAGAGATTGGTGAACGAGCTGGTGTCATGCCAAAATCAAGACCTTCCATATAACTGGGTAGCTGAAGTTCAATAGCATTCTTCAACATCTCATCATTGAGATACAAGGCACAGTCTCCTGTACCAATTGGGGCAAGTTGACCCAACATTATATTCTCAGTGACACCCCTCAAATAATCAGACTCGGCATAAACTGCAGCATCAAGGAGAATATCCACAGTTTCTTCAAATGAGCATCTCATCATCGGTCCAGTATCATTGCGGTTAATGCCATGACGAGTGATAGCCATCAAGTGGCCACGATACGTCATAGTATCACAGAGGATAGCCAAATGCCTGTAATTCACATAGGATCCATCAAAGGATATCACAACCCGCAATTCATCCAGCAAGGCACGACGAACTGCTTCTATTCCAAGAACCTCAATAACTTCAATCAAATGATTGCTTGTTGTCCTCTTTGAATCAACGTCCTCATGACACATAACAGCCAAAAGATTGACACCTTCTGTATCCAGCATCCACTCCTCAGCAGTCTTAAATCCTTCATTCTCATCAAATTTGCTTACTTTACCATGTTTAATAAACACCTTGTTGATATCTGGTATACCTCGAAGAGCCATTTCTGTCAACATGTTACTCTCAATCTTCTTCAGGAATACATCATCTTCAGCTGATTCATCATTCAATTCTCCTTTAGGGGCTTCATCATTCATGATACGAATACGAAGGATCAATTTTTCAGCATTATCATCATTGAATATGCAAGTCAAGTCATCATCAAATTCCAGGTTGATTTTCTCAGCAATATCAGCCATGCTTAACTTCTTATCAATCATCATTTCACGGTTCAGTTCTATACGAAGAAGCCAAGGGGAGATTTTCTCTGGGGCAACCTCCTCATCTGGCATTTCATAATAGGACTTCACAAACTCCACATCCTCATCAATAATTGTGCTCATTGGGTCTGGATCATACCACACTTCAGTAGCCTGAGTAACACTACGGAGAGTAGTATATTCCAAAGCACATTGAACATTCTTAGCCTTCTCCTTTGTCTTACTAGCTTCGGGCGACAGGTAGACTGAAAGAGATGGTGTTTTGATTTTCTTAGCCACATTAATAATTTCCCTCAACCTTGGGACACCAAGGGTGACATTCTTTGCACTCACACCAGCATAGTGGAAGGTATTAAGAGTCATCTGAGTAGCAGGCTCACCAATTGATTGTGCAGCAACACAACCAATCATTTCCCCAGGTGCTACCAATGACTGTAAGAATCTGGACTCAATCTCACCTATAACCCACTCAAATGCTTCTTTAGTGAGTCTGTATTCCTGTAACACTCTTTTACTGGCTAAAGTACTACGAAGCAGAATGCAAAAGAAGAGAGTCGCATTCTTCTGAGCTTCCACACTCAAAGGATCAGTACCAGGAACAACCTTCAATCTCTCCTGCAGCTTATCAACTGAATCCACAATTTCAACAGGGTGCAAATCTGACACCCTTCTAAAGTCAACCTTAAAAGTCTTCTGTGCATTCCAGATGAGCCTTTTGAGGTTCACAGGCAAAGGCCAACTGTTATCACCTGTAATTGCAATCTCAGTACCAAGCTGGTATCTATCAGCTTCAAGCTTTTGAACTTCAGCTTCAAACACATCACGCAATTCTTGGATAGTTCTCAAGTCGTCAATATGTTCTGGCATCATGTATGAAGTTGGATTCCAGTTGTCATCATCAATATCATATCTGAACACCCTATCAAATTCTGATTTCTTCATCTTCAATGAATCCAGCTTCTGGGATTCTATCCAGACTGAATCCATACCATCTTCACCATAGAGAAACTGAATAACATCCCCTAATGAGTTTCTAACAGTCCCATCATATTTAACCATAATATCCTCCATTGCCTTTACAAGTCGCCTCTGTATGTAACCAGTCTCAGAGGTCTTCACTGCAGTATCTATAAGACCTTCCCTACCACCCATAGCATGAAAAAAGAATTCTTGTGGGGTCAACCCACGAAGGTATGAATTTTCCACAAAACCACGACTTTCTGGCCCATAATCATCTTTAGTGAAGTGAGGTAATGTCCGGTCAATAAAACCAAATGGTATTCGCTTGCCTTCAACATTTTGCTGTCCCACACAAGCTGTCATCTGGGATATGTTGATGAAACTTCCCTTTGAACCAGCTGTAACCATGGCTTTAAGGTTGTTACTTTCCGATAAGCTCTTCTGTGCACTGTTTCCAGCATCATCACGAGCTCTATTCAACACCTAAAGTAAACCAAATATATTAGCAAGAAACCAGAAGTGCATAACAGAAGAACAAGAGAACACCAACTTCAATACCTGGTTCACTTTGTTTTCAAAAGATTCCATCATGGTTCTCCCTGGCTCAGGCTCTAACTCCTTGGCTTGGGCTTTGCTGATCAGTTCTTTCACTTTCTCTTTAGCTTTAGAAATAGTTTCATTGATTTTTTCCATTGTCTGTGCATCTGCAATTGTATCTCCAATACCTATGCTAAAGCCATTCTGCAACAACCAATAGTTAACAAGCCACTGAGTATGTCCCAAAAATTTGCGGGCTGCATCTGGACCAACCTCTTCCCTGTTTGCATAAAAAACCAACCAAATTAGATGAGAAAAAATGGGGAACCAACAGCATGAACTTCTAAAGCATTTATTAGGCAGAATCACAGAGCCTGCATCTGTTACACACTTGTCTAAGTCAGCTTCTCAAATAAAAAAATTAACTAAGGATGAGAATTTTGAACTGTCAATTTCCTCAAAAACCCAGTTTTTTTTCACGTCCCAAGCCTAAGATTCAGGTTAGCTTTCATTTGGATGAGGAAAAAAGTAAATTTTTAACTAAAAAATACATTACAAAATTAAAAAAAAGTGGTAGCTCAACCTCAATAACACGATATTAAGTCAACTAATTCGTTGGGATCTTCCTATTTAACCTCAAAGACATACCAAATAACATGTATAAGACTTCCAGAAGATGTTCCAAGAGTCTTCTTGCAAAGGGTTCCAGAAAGCAATTCCCCCTTTTCTATTCGAACTTGAGTATCCCCAGGAGTTATAAACCCTGTCTCACTGTCTAAATGCCACATAGAAGTTCTCAGCAGATTGATCTGCTTAGGTATGATAAGGTTAAAAACTTGTTTCCCAGTCCAAAGAGGCCGTGGCTTCAAAATTGCAGGAGCTGGAACCTTTCCATCAAAATCCTCCCACCACATTAAGATGTTCATAAAAACATCCTGAAGAATAACACAAAACTTTTAGACTCATTGCATTCACCAGCAGCAAGTTGCATTCAATAATGAGAGCAAATGAATATTCCTCAAAACTTCAGGCCACTTTTCTTTATTTGGAAGGCCAAACTGAAAATTTTCAATTACTTTATGTAAAGTATCCTAAATTATTTGTCCATTGATAAATGTGAACAACCATTTATTATTTCACTACTATTAACCTCTTCCCAGAGATTTGAGAAAAAATTACCAAGAGTAAAATGCAAAACAAAACAAAGCCATTAGTATTAATTGCTATCATTTTGAACAACTCACCAGTTCAATATGTACCAACGGATGAAAATAACAGTATTTATCATTACACATACCTTTTCGATGAAAGTATCCCTCTTGGTGATTTTCCGGCATCCTAAAAGAGTATCCTGGACAATCCCCATTACAGGCCTATTTGATTGAGGGGATACAATGCACTTGGGAACCATCATGAGCTCCAGCACCTCTGCTCTTGTTTCAAATGATTGAGGAACATGCATGTTCATTTCATCACCATCAAAATCCGCATTATATGGTGAAGTAACAGACAAATTCAAACGAAAAGTTGAGTATGGCATGATCTTGATCTTGTGCCCCATTATAGACATTTTATGAAGACTTGGTTGACGATTGAAAAGGACAAAGTCTCCATCTTGCAGATGTCGCTCCACCTGCAGACTCAATTGTATCAGCTTGGTGCAAGTGAAAAAGGAGATATGTCTAATTAATAGCCTATCAGACCAGAAGAAAATACCTTATAGCCAAGCTCTAAGTGATGGTCGCTACTTTTCTTCAAATAACGAAGATCCAGCCTTTGCCCATCATCCCTTATAATATACTTAGCACCTGTCTTGCCAGGTGGTGGATGCGGCCCATACTCAACAAGCTCCTTCAACCTATTAAAATAAGGGCTCCATCCACATCAGCAGGAAAAATACAAACTGAGATAAGATTTAGACAAATAAAGATTCCAAGAGAATACACTGACCTTTCAATGTTATATGGCGTCACAGTTTCCGGATATGTGAGATTTAATGCAATGCTCCATGGAACTCCAAGTTCATCAATGTTGATATTCGGATCTGGTGTGATAACTGTTCTTGCTGAGAAGTCAACACGTTTTCCCATTAAGTTGCCTCTAATTCGTCCTTCTTTTGCCTTAAGCCTGCTACAAATTGATTTAATAGGTCTTCCAGATCTTTGGGTAGCCTACATGAAAAGAAAGACGACTTATTGTCAACAAATGCACATGATATATTTATAAGATAATAAAAAGCTTTGGAATGTGCTGGAAGACATACCCTTGGCAGCCCAGGCAACTCATTATCAAAGTACGTGGCTACATGGAACTGCAACAACTGTGCAAACTCCGAAATGATATGTGCAGGGGAACCATTCCTCTCTTGCCTCCTCAAATTTTCATTGTGCCTTATAATCATCGCCAATGCATGGGTTAAGTCATCCTGGATACAGCAAATACAGAAGGTTAGAATTGATCTCAAATGTCATGAAACAGGTTCTTTTAATGAAATTGAACAAGCTAAGTAGAGAACAATAGCAGAAAAAGCTTGCCTCACTCCTGGAAGAGGTGTCCATCATCACAGAGGGTCTCACGGGAGGTGGAGGTATCGGAAGTACTTGAAGAATCATCCAATCTGGACGAGCATACTTAGGATTCAAGCCTAACAGCATGCAGTCCTCATCACTTATCCTCTTCAAGACGCTAAGAACCTAAAACACAAAGCAGATAATGAATACTTTCTAACAAAGGGGTTTTTTTAAAAAAATAGAAGAAGAAGGAGAAGAAGCATGTTTGAAAGGCTACCTTATCAGGAGTTAGGGTCTGTTTTCTTTCCACGGGTTCAGGAAGTTGTTCCTGATCATCATTCTTCTTCCTTGGAGCCTTGTACTCTGCAATCATCTTCATACCATCAATAGTCAGCTTTGGCTGCTGAGCACCACAGCCACCACGACTCTTTTTCACTGGTTCTTCTGTGTCTTGACCTTGGACATCAAGTTCATCACCACCCTCACATTTGGTTTTGTTCTTGCAAGCATCCAATATCTTTTTAAGCCTATTCTTTGGATTCTTTATCTTTAATGCCTGCTTAAATTTATGGTCCTCCTGCAAGAACAACAATGAACTAAATGTGTCATTCCCTCAAGAATAATTGTTCCTAGAGCTAATGTTCTGGAAAATAAAAAAAGATTAGACAAGGGAAAATATCTTTCAAGGATTAACAACTCACTGGGAGACAATAAAAAAGCCAATGGTGGAATATACATCATACAACCCAAAAAAATTCGAACTACAATACCAAAATCTCCAATGCTAAGCACAGCCAATGCCTGGAACACAAAAATCTTAAGGTACCAATTCTATGCAAAGTCAGAAAACAATAAAAGTAGAATTAAACTAAGCCTTTTCTTGTACAGGCATGCTTCTTTCAAATATGCTTGCAGTAATCAAAATCCCATGACAAATGATAATGGTCCTCTGAAGCTTAAGATCCAGAGTCTAACAAACAACAGAAGCGGCACAATCCCTCAGCGCACTTATAAGCAAATCAAGAACGAAAAACTTGCCAAAGTGAACTGTACCTCGTCAGCTAGAATTTTTGAGCAATTGAAGCAAACAGATCGCATTATACTAAGAACAGTCTTCATAAACCCAATATGGAACATAGGCTTAGCGAGTTCTAGATGCCCAAAATGCCCAGGACACTCCGCCATATTTGCCGTACAAGTCTCACACTTCATCTTTCTATCAATTGTTCCCAGCCGTGGATCGCTCAATCCACCAAGCTTCGGTTTTCCCCTCTCAGTGGTTTCACTATGCTCAATCTGCACCACGGACATTTGCCTCTGTACACCAAATCCATTAACAAATCAAACTCCCAAAAATAATCGAGAAAAAAACCTCATTCTGTTATCTTTTAGCTGAAACACAACACGGAAAATTGAATAAAGATAAACTAAGACATAGTTCCAGCTCAACACACTCCAGAATCTCCATTTTTTTTTTTTCTTTTTTCCTATGGTTTCTTAGCAACCAAACAGACTGCAAAGAAATCAAAGAAAAAACATCAAAAGAGTAGAGAGATGGAGAATTACAATTTCATCAGGGCTGAGTATCCCGAACTGGACCATCCGGACCTTGGCGACTTCCGCCGGAGAGTAAGGGAATCGCAAATCCATTGGCGATCCGATTTGAACAAAACCCTAGCTTTGGATTCGCTCCGGAAGTAGAAACTGAAAGTTCACTTGTTCTTTTTCCCTCCCTTTTTTCTTGTGTGTTTCGGTCTTTGTTTTCTGTTTTTCGATCCTTGTTTTTGAAATTTGTCGGTTCAGTTAATAGATCGGATCCTCTTATCTCCCTGAGAGAAGCTCTCTGCAGAGACGGAAAATGAAGAAGCAATCCATACCCCCTAAGGTCTTATTTATAGACGAAACAAGGCAGCCCTAACGCTACCTACCCTCGTGGAAAAGCTATCGTGCCATGAGTGCGCACGAAAACATGTAGGTATATTGGCGACATTACCCTTCGAGCCTTTTTTTTTTTTTTTCCTTGTCTTAATTAACTTGATATATATATATATAATATTACCAATATCAACAGTATAAAAATAATTAATTATTAAATAATAGGTAAGATTATATATAAAAATTATATACTTAATTTGTATAAAAATAAATCTTAATTTTAAATTTATTAATTACTTAAATGGAATCATTACAAGCATTAAAAATAATATATACTTTATATTTTCTTATAGTTAAATATTCGATTTTAGTTTTTTAACTTTAAGTTTCTATATAATTTTTATCTTTCAATTTTTTTATGTTTTTTAATCCCTTAATTTTAACAAATGCACATATCTGGTCACTCCATTAATTAACTTATTAAATTTATCTAAATGTGTATATTTTTAATTTGTAAATTTATAATATACATATATTTTTAGTTTTTAAATTCATGAGTTTATAAATTAAAAATGTATATATAGATATATTTAATAAATTAACTGATATAAAAATAAAAAAAATTACATTTCTAAAAGTTGAGATATCAAAAAGTGCTTAAAACAGCTAAGGGATAAAAATTAAGTAAAATCCTAAAGTTGAGAATTA